TAGCAATTTTAAGGTTTACCGACAGCAGCAACTTAAAAAAGCTTACAACAAGCAAGCAACGGTGTTAACACCATGAGATATTTAGGGTTTAACCAACAATTCCAATCCTTTACCTGCTTTACTTGAAACAAGCAAGCAACGGTGTTGACACCATAGAAAATTTAGGGTTTAGCGATAGCAGCGAAGTTTGATGTCGTCTGAGGGTAACGAAAAAAACTTTCTAACTCTTATGTTTTGGGATTCTTTGGGTGGGTGGGTATTCTTCCCAGTTCTTGCTAGCGAACTTGACTAGAAACTGCTCGACCAGAGCTGCTGAACCCTAAACCCTAAACCCTAAACCCTAAACCCTAAACCCTAAACCCTAAACCCTAAACCCTAAACCCTAAACTAGGGGCGCTCGCCGTCGGGCCTTATGGCCCGACGCAGCGACCCCCATGCCTAAGCAGGAAGAGGGCATCGCACATACAGTACGCCTGTACAGCAGTTAAACTGTGCCATCAAGCTTTCTGTTGTGCCATCACCAAGCAGTGGGTCTATACGACAGTACTGTCTGTATACTTTATATAAAAATATGTTATACCCCAAACCCTGCGCGCGCGACCCTCGAAACTCTGTTGTATAGCGTTTAGAGGCTCTAAACTCTATACGTACAGCGTTTGGGAACAGAGTTTGGGAGGTCATGATAGTTTAGAAAAACTTTTTTTATCCACTTTGTAAACTCTATATATAGAGTTTGGGGACATTTGGGTGCCTAAACTCTAAAGTATAGCGTTTGGAGAGGTCGTATAGAGTTTGGGGTATAGCGTTTAGAGCTAAAATGTAGACGTATAGAGTTTCGATGTATAGAGTTTCGCGTATAGCGTTTCGTGTTTAGAGTTTGGACGTATATAGTTTCGCATATAGAGTTTCGCGTATAGAGTTTCGGTGTATAGGGTTTCGCGTATAGCGTTTCGCGTATACAGTTTAGCCGAGCCGATTCTCAGGATTTGGGGGTGTTTTTTTTTGTATAAATTCTCTTCATAAAAGTGCTTCTTTTATTGAGGCTAGCGCCGATTTCCGGATATAGCCCATTTGGGGTGTCCAAACTCTATACGTATACGACGTTTAGAGTTTCGCGTATAGCGTTTCGCGTATAGAGTTTCGGTGTATAGGGTTTCGCGTATAGCGTTTCGCGTATACAGTTCAGACGAGCCGATTCTCAGGATTTTTGGGTGTTTTTTTTGTATGAATTCTCTTCATAAAAGTGCTTGTTTTATTGAGGCTAGCGCCGATTTCCGGATATAGCCCATTTGGGGCGTCCAATCTCTATATACGTCTGTATAGAGTTTCGACGTATAGAGTTTCGCGTATAGCGTTTTGCGTTTAGAGTTTGGCCGTATATAGTTTCGCGTATAGCGTTTCGCGTATAGAGTTTCGGTGTATAGGGTTTCGCGTATAGCGTTTCGCGTATACAGTTTAGCCGAGCCGATTCTCAGGATTTGAGGGTGTTTTTTTTTGTATAATTTCTCTTCATAAAAGTGCTTCTTTTATTGAGGCTAGCGCCGATTTCCGGATATAGTCCATTTGGGGTGTCCAAACTCTATACGTATACGACGTTTAGAGTTTCGCGTATAGCGTTTCGCGTATAGAGTTTCGGTGTATAGGGTTTCGCGTATAGCGTTTCGCGTATACAGTTTAGACGAGCCGATTCTCAGGATTTTGGGGTGTTTTTTTTTGTATGAATTCTCTTCATAAAAGTGCTTGTTTTATTGAGGCTAGCGCCGATTTCCGGATATAGCCCATTTGGGGCGTCCAATCTGTACTACTACTATCTACGACTACTACTACTACTACTACTACTACTGCTACTACTACTACTACTACTACTACTACTACTACTACTAGTATTTCGTGTATGAATTCTATGGACAAGACTAAGGTTTCTATTTCTCGAAGTGGATCCACGACATGGCTGGTGGCCGGCGACTCAAGCGCTGCTTCGGTGCTTGCACTCGTTTCCACCCGGTGTGGCCCAGGAATGAGCTTTGTGTCGGCGACATACAGCTGCTCGCGGAAGTCGACAAAAACATTGCCGGCGAAACGATGCATTTCGGCATGTGGTGTACTTTGCCTTCGTGCGGTCTTGCGTAATGTAGTTCTCTGATCAGGGGTGACGGGCAGCGTCGCTTGCGAGCATCAGCTTGCAAGGTTTGATATGCACTAGAATCTGCATCGGCTTGCAGGGTTTGGTTTGCACTAGAATCTATTTCCCTGACGCGGCAGCTCCTTTCCAGTTCGAATCTAGGCTCCTTCCAAGATGTTCCTGCAGCCGCGTGCGAAGGCGGTGCCCAGACCCGCGGCTCTCGTGGGCCCTCGCTCGCTGGAAGTGCCGTGGCCGAGCAAGCTATGTGCTGCTCGTAGGTCCGTTCCAACCCCCTTGGAACTCTTCGAGCGGCTGGCAGACAAGCTGGAGGTGCCGACAGGGCTGCGCTACGGCCGCTATCTTCTGGCATGTTATTGGGCGATGCCAACCGGGAGGTGCAACCCAGAAGCCGTCGAGTGGTCCGACTTGGTGGCTCTTGCTCTAGTCGTAGAACATGCTCCGGTCGATGCGGATGATGTGAAGCGATGCCTACTTCTGACTGAAGAGCGTCTGATGTATCATTGGGACGTCAAGAAGATTGGCCGCATCATACACGCCTGGTCCATTTACCGTAGGGCTACCTAAGTGACGTGCAACTGGCCGAAGAGTGCAGAGGTCGGTGCGCTGGAAAACAAGGGAACCATCTGTGCAGCCGGGTTCTTGTTGTGTATTCACGCGAACATCCGTGGTAGTGGTACTAGTATTACTGCTATTCCCACTAATATTATGACTACTACTACGAGTCCTACTAGTACCACTACTGCTACTACTACTACTACTACTACTACTGCTAGTACTACTACTACTGCTGCTGCTCGCACCACTACTGCTGCTACTATGCCTCCGTTTACTACGACTATTATCTGTACTACTACTATAACTACTACTCATGTCGCACTGACATTCTTTTATTATCTTACCGCCCTTACTACTGCCCGGTTATCTACACCGCGGGTCTTGTACCTTCCTATACACTTTTCTCGCTTATTTCGTGTCGCTCAAGCGCTTCCGGAGTCGAACGTCCGTATGTGCATGGGATTCATATACAAACCACCATGAACGTCAGTGTGTCGTCGACACGCAGCACGAAGCATCCGATACGCCGTCCATCGGTGAGCATGCGGCTCGTAAGCAACAGCTTTAGCTAGCTTTGAGTTCTCGCACGTAGTTGGAGGCCGAAGTGCATTGAGCTGCATGCTCCTCGAGCGGTGTCCTTTGACAGGTCTGTTCGGCACGTCCGTTGCATGGCTTTGGTGCAGGTGCTGTTTCGACAAGGATGTACATGATTGTTGTACGGATTTTCCCGTCATGTCAGCCTTGGCGACTTGGACATGCCAACGTGCACATCGTCCGATACCCGGATGCGTGCTTGCGCAAAGAGAGGTCACGGCGTTGGCTCGACCCTGCGAGTTCATGCCGCGAACACCCGATAAGGGCAATCCGCGTCGTCACGGGCCTCATGACCGCGGCGGTGCTCGTCGTCGACGGCAAGGGCGCCAGGCTGCGATGGTATGCCAAAGGTAGGTTACTATGCTCCGAAAAGGACTCCCGCGCCTGGCACGAGGGCATCGAAACCGACGACGAGGCCGTTCTTTTGCATGCACACTCTTGCATCAATTCGCTGCTCAGGTCCGCGCTGTGGGGGGCATACACCCTGCCTTCCGCGTCCTTCTCTGGCATGCAGCGTCTGGGCCTGGCTGGGCCCATGCAGTTTCTCGCAGGACCATCCGCCACGCCTTGTGGTCATGCTCCATTCCGGGTTCGTGCTAGTCCATGGCGCGGAGGCTCGATGAGGCACATGGGAGAAAGTGGCTCCTTGCATCGCGCAGGGCATCCGCTTACACTACATTCTTTCCGGATTCTACCTCCTGCCGGCACGCGAGATGGGGGCGAAGTTGCATGCGTCTTGAGAATGCGCTTGTGCTGGAACCGTCACTGGCTCGTCACGTCTCTTTCTCTGTCTGTCAGGCCGCGCTGCACTTCTACTGCATCGACGCTTCTCCTATGCTGCCGACGGGCGTGGGCGCCTCGCCCTTGCAATGTGGTTTCAGACGTAATCCTCTGTCAGGTCCGTTTGGTAACTCACCGAGTCGTTCATCGGATCTGAGCTTTCGGAGGCGTATTGTCGTGACTCGCGGTTGTTGTGTGTTCATGTCTGACGTGGACGGCTCGCGTTCTAGGGATGGCACAGCCCTGAGCGAGATGTCAGATTGCCTGCAAAAGTTCGTCGATCGCATGCATGGTTTCGAGCCGTCAGTCATGCATCGGCCAGTTGCGATGGTGCTCGCATGCTGCGTTCGGCTCAGCACTTGTGCCTGCCGATTTCCTTCACCGAGAGGCTGGACTGGTGTCCTTTCTGCTTGCATGATCGGCTCTTGCCTACGACTTTCTGTCCGGGAGAACAGCACTAGGCTCGAAACCATCGCCTTCCTGGTACTTCTGCTTCCTCGCGATGTGGGCCAATGGCAGCGGTGGCAACAAGGGTCGTGGGAAGGCCTACGGCAAAAGCAAGGCGTCCAAGGGCTGGGCTACTTCGAGCTGGGACAACACGAACGCTTGGGACGGTGCTGGCAAGGGCAAAGGCAGCGATTGGAATTCTGCTGCCGACTGGGGCCAGACTTGGGGCGAGGACAAAGGACAGCAGAAGGGGAAGGGACAGCCCCGTGACTACATGACTCGGTTGGAAGGTCGCTATGCCTTCGCGAAATCTGTGCTGAGGCCGTATGCAGACGAGCATGGCAGCGCCCTGTATGCCGGCACCGCCGGAGCCTCTGCTGCCAATGTGCTCGGTAAGGACAACCTCCGCCAGATCTTGGATTTGCGCAATTCCGAGCTGATCAGACGCCCCGCCGTGGGCATGTCCACGATTGCGGGCACCATGAAAGGCTTCAAGAGCACACTGGATGTCTGCACGCAGAACGATCATCTGGCTGCGTGTCTGAAGGACCTCGATCGAGTGTTGCAGGGCCGAAAGGGGCGCTCTTTCTTGGAAGCCTGCGAGACGCTGACCAAGGAACGCTCGGGAAGCATTCCACAGGATAAAGTCGCAGAAGCGGTGCAATGCTGGATTTCTTTTTTCCGAGAGCACAAGACACAGCTCACGACGTTGCTACCCAAGTTGGCGACGAGTGCAAGTGTTTTATATCTCGGCTGCATGCAGGGTCTGGAGGCCGCGACCATGTGCAACGCCCTCACCAACTGGGCGCAGAAGGTGCCCATGACCACCGGAAACCAGGAGTCGCTTGGGCACTGGCAAACCGCGCCCAAAGACGTGGAACGTCTCAAAGCGTTCATGATCGCGGCCCTGCAGCAGCGCCATACAGAGGGTGCCGCTTGGCTGCGCCAGAACGGCATGGGTGGAGATTCCGACGAGGAGGCAGCGACTTGGGGTGTGCCGGACACCGGCAAAGCCCGTGCTCGCTCGAGCAGCTCCGGCACCACAGATTCCGCTGCACGTCGCAAGAAGAAAGCTGCCAAGAAAGAAAAGAAACGTGCAAAGGAGGATGCCAAGAGGAGCAAGGCAGCTGCCGCTGCCGAGTCCGGCCCGAAGGCTGACGTCAAGGAGAGTTCCAAGAAGAAGTCCGAGCGGGCCGAGCTGTCCTGTGTTGAGGAGGAAGAAGCGCATGGGGAGGATCGTGAGACCGCGGAGGAGGAAGCTGGCGAGGGCATGGATGATGAGTCTTAGGGTTCTGAATCCGAGACGTGAGTTCACCGAGGGTGGCATCGACACGGAGCGGACGTAGTCCCCGTGTCTGGGTGGCGAATGCCTCGGACGCTGTGTGTAGAACATCGAACAACAGACTGCTGCCTGCATTTACTCCTTTTCTATGTCGAGCATGCTGTCCATCGCTTGTTGCCTTTTGCAAAATACCCATCCGGTAATGACCTTGCAGGCAACATGGTCCTCTTGCTGGTTCAAATGGCCGTTTGTACGATTCTCGTGTTTTGGCCTCGGTTATTATGATGTTCTCGTCGTATCTTGCGATTCCAGCTCGAGGTCTGCCGTGAAAGACACGCAACCGGATCCATCCGACTCTTCGTCGGCGACTCGATTTTCATTCGTAGCGAACATTGCATTTGTGAATGTCAGGGGACCGCTTGCAGATGTCAGGTCTTCTTCCACATCGTCGTCTTCTTCCGGCTCCTCGCGTGGCCGGCGCCCACCTAAGCTGCCTCGAGGACGTCACTTCTGGGTACTCCCGGGGGGCGATCGAGAATGCACGGGCCCTGGCGACGGTGTTTGCACCATGGCCGCGGACGGATCTGGCCGTCCGGGCATGGCAGACGAGACGGGCCTGTGCGTCTTTTGCAGTCCCGAGCGTCTCAGAGAGGTACTCGCCATCCGCGACGGACGGCTTCTGACCCGTGCCCTGTCGCAATTGCGGGAGCCGCACCTCAGTCTGGCTCTGCGAAAGGTGGAGGCACAAACGGACACGGAAACCGTCGCCAAGTGGCGACTTCGAGTGGAGCGAAGCCAATGGCGCCAGAATCCGGCTCGAGCCCGCCGCGGACCCCGAGGCAAATACGGCAAGAATAAAGCTTCGCGAAAGCGAGCATCCAGATCCGAAAGGAAAGCGCGTCGCGCTCGCAAGCGACCTGCTGCCGCGGAAGCCTGGGGGGTGTGCAATTCTGCCGATCGTCCTGCCGGAAGGGACGGGACATCGGATGATCGCATCGAGGAGGCTTCCTGAGCTGGGCTGTGCTCGGTCTGCTAGTATCTTCGGTGCGGGCATGCCCCCGAGACGGACGGTAGCCGGCGAGCCACGTTCATAACTGGCACCACGCCGGTGGAAAAGTTTGCACTTGTGGTGATGTCAGCTTGCGTATCCTGTGGGCAAGTTCCTGCCTGTGGCACATGGGTATGCACTTGTGGTCTTGTCAGCATGCGACAACAAATATCCTGCTAGATCCTGCTGCATCGTCATCTGATTCTGGCTTCAGTCGGGACTCAGTTTCGGGAACAGAGCCGACGGTTTCCGGTCTGTGGGGCGCAGCAAACCTCGGGTGGCCTGGCGGCAGACCGGGGATCTTCGCTTGCAGGCACGCACGTGCTGTTTCGCGGTGCGTTCAGGTTCGGCTGATTTAGCGGGCGAGGACGGTTGTTGTAGCATCCGCGTGTTCCGGTAGGCGATGGCCGAACGGAGCTGCATCGTACTGACGTCCGAGGAGCGGCAGAATCTGCTCCAGGCCGCCATCACTCCACATCTCGACTTCAGCTGGTCCGCCTGACATACAGGCACTGGTCGAGGTGCACGCACGAGAAGGCCGTGCGGACTCCCGCCTTGCGCGAAGGATCGCGAGTCTCAGGCCTGCCGCCCGCGCACCCACTAGTCATCGAACCCGTTTCATTGCAGGAACCTTGAGGTCGCCGGCGAGGGGGAGGTGAGTGACTCAGGTGCATATTTCAATTGCACGGCGACACCTTCTGCTAGGACGGCGATTCTTCCATGACGACGGCTCCCTCGGAGTCCGGGCGCTGGCCTCTGTACTTGCTGCCAGTCTGCCGTCCTGCGTGCATGAAGTCCTGACTCGGTGTTAGGTCGGTCGGCTCAAAGCGGGCCCGGGTTCTGCCACCCCCCGGGAGGCGTCGTACCTGCTGTCTTGTGATCCTGTCGTGTCCTTCGACGTCATAATCTGCAGGCATTCGAACAAGCGCACGCGCGATCCCGACGACCCAGGGTGCAGTCTCGTGGTGCCTTGATATTTTCTGAGCCACAGAGTCCGGTGCCAGGACAGCCGACTGTACGTCTTCCGAGGACGAGCAGGTCCGGGTGCGGTTGTGCCTCGGATGCGTCTGCAGCCGTTTGCGTCTTCGCTAGGTCGATGCGATGTCCGTGCGCACCTTGGAAGCGACCCTTATGGCGACTTGTTTTGACACGGTACGTGCAGGTTTTCAGCTCGATTGCGCATCGCGCGATGTATCCTAACCTTGATTTTAACGCGGCATCTACGGCTTCAGCTCCATCGCATATCACTTCCGCCAGGTTTTGCCAGCATGTCTGTACAAATCTCGAACCTTGTTTCAACGCGGAAAGTTCCTGCAACGGGAGGCCACTTCTGCTTCCGCGGACAACCTGCCGGCTGCTCGCGTGCTTGGGATGACTGCGAGGCGATCAGCCGCCAACTGCTCCAAGGTTCGTGGATGCCGGAACATCCGCGACCCCGGAGGAGCTCGAACGGCGAGGGTTTCGAGGACCGCCTGCTATGGATGACGGTGAGGTGCTGGAGGTGCCGCCGGACGGCGACTGTCTGTTTCATTGTGCCGTCACGTGTCGGGATGTGGCTCGTCTTCGAGGTTCCCTGCAGGACGAGCGTGGCTTCATGCTGGAGTCTCGCGGCGAGGCCAACTTGAAGGAGGCGTCGCGCCGACTGCGAAGGATCTGCATCGAAGCAGCCACGACGGCGGGTCGCCGGGATGTCGTCAGCATGCTTGCATCGTCCCGTCTGCCGGAGGGAGGGGCTCTGTGGTTTCTGGCCCAGTGGTTGGAAGGGAGCATTTGGGTCTCCCTCGAAGGAGTGTCTGCGGAGTTCGATGTACTGATCGGAGTGGGCCCCATTGCCTGTAGGCTCTTGCTGTCCTATGTCGAGGACTCGGGTGGGCAGGCTTCCCCGCACTATCGCCTCGCAGGAAGCTGGGTGCCTCAGCGGTGTAGGGATGTGCCGAATCAGGACGGCAGCACAGGAGGTACTTGATGCACGAAGGTGGATGCAGTCGCCGCCCAATTGCAGACGGTCTCGGTGCGGGCACGCCCCCGAGCTGCTTTCCAGGTAAAAAGGTCGTGTTGCAGTTGTATCGTTGGTCCGCTAAGGTCGCAGTGCATTGGTTTGAGTTTGCTCGTTTCGGATGCCAGGTTGTGCTGCTCTAGATCTGTCGACTTTGGTGCGCTATCGCTTGTCGCAAACAGCTGCTCCTTGTAGTTTACGCGGCCGTCCTTGGACCACATCCATTCGAGCACGCATGGAGACGGATTCTTGGCGGCCCGGCTGCAGTATTGCGTCGCGTGGTCTCAGATCTGCAACCGATTTGGCCGCATGACCGTCACGACGATAGCATGAGGGCATGCCTCTCGCCTGTAAGTTCAGATTTCGGCCTTGGCTTTGCGGTGCCGGAATTCTGCCTGAGTTAGTTATTTTGGATCAGCCGTCTCAGATAACTGTCCTGGATTTTTGCCTTGAGAAGACTATCCTTTGGAATTGTAGCTGAGTTAGTTATTTTGGATCATCCGTCTCAGCTAATTGCCCTGGGATTTTTGCTTTGGGAAGACCATCCTTCGGAGTTACACCTGATTCAGTTATCTTCGATCATCCGTCTCAGATAACTGTCCTGAGATTTTTGTCTTGGAAAGACTACCCTTTGCAATTATACTTGAAACAGTTGTGTTCGATCATCCGTCTCAGATAACTGTCCTGGCAATTTTGCCTTGGAAGACTATCTTTTGGAATTGAACCTGAGTTAGTTGTCTTCGGTCATCCGTCTCAGATAATTGTCCCGGGATTTTTAATTTGGGAAGACTATCCTTTGGAATTCTGCCTGAATTAGTTAGCTTGGATCATTCGTCTCAGATAACTGTCCTGTGTTTTTCTGCCTTGAGAAGACTACCCTTTGGAATTGTGTCTGACTTAGTTTACTTGGATCATGTGTCTCAGATAACTGTCCTGCGATTTTTGTCTCGAGAAGACTATCCTTGATAATTGCGTCTGAGTTAGTTCGCTTGGATCATCCGTCTCAGGTAACTGTCCTTGGATTTTTGCCTTGGGAAGATTATTCTTGGTCATTGTGTCTGAGTTAGTTTACTCGGATCATCCGTCTCAGATAACTGTCCTCGTATTCTTGCCTTGAGAAGACTATTATTTGGAATTGTAGCTGAGTTAGTAATCTTGAATCGTGCGTCTCAGATAAATGTCCTGGGTTTTTTGCTTTGGCAAGACTATCTTTTGGAATTGAACCAGAGTTAGTTATCTTGGATCATCCGTCTCAGATAACTGTCCTGAATTTTTGCCTTCGGAAGATCATCTTTTGGAAATGAACCTGAGTTAGTTATCGTGGCTCATCCGTCTCAGATAACTGTCCCGGCTTTTTGCCTTGGGAAGACTATCCTTTGCAATTCTGAAATGAAACCAGCGTGTGCAACTAGCATCCTTGCTCCAAAACTTGCTTTTTACCTTGGCAAATGGAAACCAGCGTGGGCAACTACCATCCTTGCTTCAAAAATTTGCTTTTTGCCTTGGCACATGGAAACCAGTGTGGGCAACTAGCATCCTTGTTATTGTAGGGGGAAACCAGCGTGTCCAACTAACATCCTTGTTTTGCCTTGGCACACGGAAACCAGCGTGTGCAACATCCTTGTTTTTGCCTTGCTAGAGCTCCGCAGGGGGGTGCCTGCGGCGGGAATGGACGGACTGCGCTTGCCTCGGAGAGAGATGTTGCGTGTCGTGTCTGCTGGTGTTTACAGCGTGGTGACTTAGGACAGACGCAGCTGCCGTGTCGGCAGACGATCGATCGAGGGGACACGGCCGGCCGAGTACGTCAGCTCAAAGCTTGCAGGTGGATTCCATGATGGACTCCTCCCTCGAGGCAAGACTTCTCGGGAGGGCCTCGTTCCATAGGCACGGGTTCTCGCTTCAGGCCGGACAGACGGAGGTAACGGCTCAGCTCTTCTTGCAGTCCCTACACAAGAAGCGGAAGTTTGCGGAGAGCCTCGAACAAATCGAATCTCTCCTGGGTCCCGACGAGTTCGTGCATCAGATGAAGAGGCTTTGCATCGCAACTGGCGAGGCAGTGGATACGGTGGTATGCCAGGAAGAGGAACAGGCAGCACACGATGTCACTGTCGCAGACCCTGACGCGCCCGATTGGGCGTTGTCCGTCAAGCCGGAGTGGTGCGACAGGATCTTCAACCACGGAAAGACGTGGGAGATCCGTGGCGAGCACTGTCGCAAACATCTTGGCGAGCGCGTGGCCATCGCACAAGCGGGTTCTGGACATTTGGTTGGAACCGTGCGCATCGCAGAGTCGCGCAGGGTGTCTATGGAGGAGCTACGAGAGACGGTGCCACTGCATCATGTAACGGACCTGTCTCGAGTGAGCTACAAGCAGCCCCACGTTTGGGTGCTGCAAGATGTGAGCGCGTATGCTCGCCCGGTGCCGTACGTTCATCCGACGGGCTGCGTTAAGTGGATCCCGCTCGCAGGGCCGCGACAGGGTAAAGGTCCGGAGCCGGGACAGTCGCGGCGCCGGTCGCAGCGGCATGGCCCGCCGCCCGCGGCTTCCGCACAGACATGGGACACGCTCTTGGAACGTCGTCAAAGCAGCATGTCGTATTCCTCCGTGCAGCAGGATCAGTATGCACAGGCGCAGCAAAAACAGGCGGCCCGCCTTTGCAGGAAGTTTCCAGCAGTGTATGATGGCTCTGCTAAGGATGATCACTGGCTATCGCCACGGGCTCGAGCGTTCCGGCACTGGTGTCTGTACGGATCCTGCAAGATGTGCAGCGTCTGCGGTCGCACCGTCCCGCAGCCCTACAAGGCGGCTGTCGCACTGAAGTTGGATCGCGGCGGATGCCTGCAAAGCTGCGACTATTGTCGCACGGAGGGTCAGCAAGGTTATGCTGCTCCGAGTACGTCCGAGGTGCCTCGCCGCCTTAGACGCTTGCGACCGGAAGTGATCGAAGCTCTCAGGCCTTTTCGAGTGCATGCCGGACCGGAGCACCGTGCTAAGGACGGGTACGCTGTTCACACCGACATGATGAGATTTTCTTTCAAGAGTACGACCGTGGAGGCCGCACTGGCAGCGCTGCCGCCGCCACACCGCAAGCGAGGGGAGAAGGCCCTGCTCTATTTGTTGGAAGCCTCTGACAGCAGCTATGGCAAGTTCTGGCGTTTGCATCATCTATTCATCGCCAGCCGCGGCCGGCAGATGGCCCGAGGCGATCTGGAGCGCGATGCGCCGATCAAGCGTCTGCCCATCAACTTCCTGGAAACCGTTGGCCTGGAATGCGCGCTGTGGCCGCACCTCTACTGGCGCACAGACATGACGGAGACCTACGTCCGCCACACGGACGTACGCCGCGCTCGGAAGCGGCCTCGGCACCCGGCTTGGGAGAACGACGAGGATGGGGAGATGGAGGATGCCGATGGCGGCCGACGTCACAGCGCGAAAGCCAGCTTCTCGGCAAAAGTGCGCTCGAGCGTACTGGGCTACGGAACCGATGAACTTTTGTTGCAGTTCGTCTACGACCTCTGGCTCTTCACGACCATCGGCGGCGCGCGACATTCCACCAGCGGCACCGTGAGGGAGGCACTGGCCTCGAAGCCTTACTCGCCGGAACTCTGGCGACATTACCATGCGGCTCTGGTGGATGTGCAGAGACAGCTCGGCTTGCCGCAGGTCTTCATCACCATCGCACCGTATGAGTGGAGCTTTCCGTATCACGTGTGCCTCGAGGACGAGCTGCGGAAGTGTCTGTCCGAAAGGCTGCATGCACCGACGGCGGAAACGCTGCATCTCGCGCACGTGCTCAGCCAGGCCGTCAAAGGACTGCTTACCGGAGCCAACGAGGGTGTCAGGGGCAGACAAGACAGTCACGTCTTCGCGGCCTCCGACTCGGCTGGCGTGCGAGCTTGGGTGGCTCGCCTGGAATTTCAAGACGGCAAGCGGCAGCGCCATCAGTACCGCGAACCACAGGCCTATCACGGACGCGGGGCGGTCCACGTGCACATCCTGCTGTGGCTCAAGGACATGGAGCAGATGGACATGGCCACGCAGATCAGGGCCGACATACCGGGCGAGGGAGAGCCGCAGCTTCGAGACCTCGTGCTGGGCTCGCAATTGGACTGGAGCTCCAGCGGATGGCCGCTCAGAGAAGAGTCGACACAAGTCTCTCCCAAGAACGGCTTGCTGGAGCTTCAGCATCCGAAGGATGCCTACGATGCACACTGCCGCGCGTACATGCCCGATGTCCTGTCTGCGTTGCGGTGTCACGTGGACGTGAGAGCTTCCGATGGCCGCACCCTGATCCTGAAATATTGCGCCAGCCGCTTGACAGCAGATAGTTGAGTTCGCGGGATGTAGGCAGTATAGCGTGTCTGTGTGCTTGACAGCAGATAGTTGAGTCTGCGGGATGTAGGCAGTATAGTGTGTCTATGTCGAACCCGTCCGTGAGCCGTTCGTCGCTTGAGGTTATTTGCCGAAGTTCTCCAGTTCGTTCGCGCAGGAGATGCTCAACGATCAAGCCACCGGATTCGCCCTCGCGAGACGCATCCTGGCGGACTATCATCCCCTGCAGCCGGAGATGGTCCTCCAGCTGGCAGCGCAGCAGCTTCCGCAGTTTCTGAGCTCGGCAGTCGTGCGCAAGTTTTGCGTGCCGGTACCCTGGCGGCAGGACGCCCCCAAGTGGGTGCGGGACTACATGGCTTGCGGGTGGCGCCGACGCAGCACCTCCCTGCTTCAGTATCTGCGTCTAGCCGGCTCAAATGGACAGATAGCTCAGTGCTATCGTCGGTATCACAGCATGAACAAGCTGGAAACGCCGCTGGTGGACTGGATCCGGACCTGTCCGAATCTGGGGAAAATAGCCGTGGCCTGTACCATGTATTCCTATGGCAACGATGCCTATTTCGGACAGTGGCTTCTCTTGCACGTGCCCTTCAATGCAGTGGACGATTTATGGGACGAGCGAGCCGCCTCGCTGCCCCGCGAACTGCGCTATCTCGGCCTGTGTCTCTTGCATCGCCCAGATTTTTGGAGGGATCTTCGTAACCTCGCCGAGCAAATGGAGTCGGAAGCTCGCACTTTCGTCTACAGCCAAAACGTGCTGGCGCTCGTGCGCGCGCGCATCGAGCTCGTGGATGCATACCTGTCTGGTGAATTGCAGCTGTCCACGGATGCTAGGACTAAGCCGGAGGCCACGACCCAGATAGACCGCGCCGACTTCGCGCCAGACCAGGGCTTTGCCTACATGACGGTGATGCGCAAAGTCATGCAGGCACTGGAACATCGATGGCCCGAGGACGGCGACGAACGTTCCTGGGGTGCATGGGTCACAGCGACGAGAGCAGCGGTCGTGGAGAGACCCACGGCCGTGCTCGGTCCGGCAGGAAGCGGAAAGAGCACTGCTGTCCAGGCTGCCATTCGTGAGGCCGTGCGAGCGAGCGCTCGTGTCGGTGTGGCCTGTCCGACCGGGTTGCTTGCCACCCGCTACAAGGTCGATAACCCGGATTTGGACGTGGACACCGTGCACGGCATGTTCGCGCTGCACAAGGCCGAGCAAAGCACGCTGGAAATGATGGTCGCCTACGACCTCGTCGTCATAGACGAAATCGGACAGGTGCCCCTCTGGATCTTCGAACGCATTCTGCGTCTTTGGGACGCGGCAGATCGGCGACCTGCACTCGTGTTTGTTGGCGACTTCTGCCAGCTCCGGGGCCCGGATGGCACCTTTGCGACGCAGAGCGCACGATGGTCCGAGGTGACGGTGCTTCGTCTGCACTCCATGCGTCGTTGCAAGTGTGCTTCGCTTCGATGGAAGCTGGAACTGCTGCGGGGGCACACGCCTACCCAGCCTCAGTTGAGAAAAATTCTGGCACGACATCGTGCATATGCCTCCAATGGCCCGCCGTCCGCGGAAGCCATCCAGCAAGTTTTGGGCAAGAGGCCCTCCACGCAGTTCGTCACCATCACTCGACGAGGTTCTGCACGCATCAACGCCTTGGTCGTGAGAGTCCTCTTCCGAGATCAAGAGCCACTTGGAGTGATTGCGACCGATCCCGAGGACAATCCTGCCAACTTTCGTGGCACTGCCCGAGTCGGCGCGGAGCCCTTGAAGATGCCAATCTTCGAAGGAATGCGAGTGACGCTTACCAAGAATGAGGACAAGCAGCAGGGCTTCGTCAATGGCATGGGCGGGCGGATTAGGCGTCTGCGCACCAGCGGTGTGGAGGTCGTCCTCGACAACGGCAACATCACCCTGGTGCATCCGACGACTCAAGACTACGAGCTGGCGACGGGAGACTTCTGCAGGACTACTGCCCTGCCATTGCGCCCGGGCTACAGTACGACGCTCCACAAAATTCAAGGTGCCACCCTGGGTCACATCACCATCTGGCTAGATGTTCCCTTTGTACGAGGGGCTGCCTACGTGGCCTTGTCGAGGGTGCGGAAAGATGCGGACTGGCAGTTCCTGGGCACCATCTCCAGACGCGAATGTCTGCCCGCGGAGTGTCCCTAGAAACAGTTGGGTACAGTGCATCGTCCCTGAGAGCCGCAATTCGCACAGAGTGCAAGCCCAGGGCAGCAGCAGGTTCACAGTCGCGGTCGATGCAACCGAAAATGCTGCGTTGCCGCGACCTCTCTGCATCCAACTGTGGCTTGTGCAGACACAGGTTTCGAGCGTCATGTCGTGTGCTGGCTCGCCGCATACTGTCGAGTGTGCCTGAAGCCGCATAACTGTTCGAAGTCCTATCTTGCCCTTCACGGACTTCTAGCCAGAACGGTCATGAGACCCTTAGACCTCGCTGCCATGTCGTCTCTCCAGCGAAGTTATACCTGGCATCAGGGACCGCCTGTTCTTGTACGCGCAAAGAGCATCATTCGCCCCTAACTACTACTTTACTAAATGTGTCGCCCGATTCGCTCGCCCCATATACTACTTTACTAAATGTGTCGCCCGCTTCACCCGCCCCCAAAACTACTTTACTAAATGTGTCGCCCGCTTCGCCCGCCCCAAAACTACTTTACTAAATGTGTCGCCCGCTTGCCCGCCTCCAAAACTACTTTACTAAATGTGTCGCCCACTTCGCCCGCCCCAACAGCTACTTTACTAAGCGTGTCGCCCGCCTCGGCCTAGCTTGTGTGTGCCAGGACTAGCATCTCTTGCACATGAAGAGCAGCTGGCCGTCGCGATGCAGCACTCTTTCTCGCTCCTCACGCACGCCCACAGTCGGGCCGTCGAATCCGGAAGGGTCCTGCAGGTGCTGTCGCTGTTTGATATCTTCCGCGATGGTGGTCGTGGGGCGCTGGTGGACCTGATCGTGCCTCGGCTTAGCTGCCAGACTCGGAGAACTAAGATTGAAGCCTGCAAGCTGCCAGGCATCATTTCTGGTGGAGCCGTTGCTGTGTCGGACGAACATGCCGCCCGTCCTCCTGGAGCCCCCTCGAATGACCGCACCCCGGGGCTTGCCACATCCGATCCCAACTGCGAACGGCGAGCTCTTGCATGTCTGGTATGCTGCCGCTCGGCCGCAGCGGACGCCCACCTGCAGTGCCCTGCGCATGCTGACATGACCCGCAGGTTCAGACCGCACGGCATCTCAATGTTCAACGCAGAAGCTTGATGTTAGAACTTTGGCGTCGAGTGGCCCAGCTGGAGAACAGAGAGGGTGCTCTCATGCGTCGACTCGGACTTTTATGAGCATGGAGGCGTCGCATGTGCATACATGAGTGCATGCAGTCTCGCGATGGGCGTGCTGTCGCTATGATCCATTCTTCTCGCAGGAAATGGCGTGGATCCACCGCCCTGGACAGCTGTGGGCAGGGGAATATGCCGAGCGCGCAAATGGCCTCGACTCCTTACTAGTATTAATAGTACTACTACTACGACTACTACTACTACTACTCCTACTACTACTACTACTACTACTACTACTACTACTACTACTACTACTACTACTACTACTACTACTACGACTACTACTATTTCTGCTACTACTACTTCTAGTACTACTACTACTACTACTACTACTACTACTGCTACTACTGCTACTAGTTTCGGTGCTGCAACTACTACTAATATTACTACTACTACTACTGCTACTATTACTACTACTGCTACTACTACTACTACTACTACTACTACTACTAGTACTACTACTGATACTACTACGAATACTAATACTGCTACTGCTGGTAACACGAATACTATTGCTACTGATACTACCGATAATAATGCTACTACGACCTTGTTATTACTATTACTCTTGCTACTACTACTAGGACTCGCACTACTGTCACCATTACTATACCTACCACCAATACTACAGAGCCTAGTGCTACAACCACTACTACTACTACTGCTACTACTACTACTACTGCTATTGCTAGTAGTACTACTACTACCCCTACTGATACGACCACCAGTACTACTACTGCCGCTACTCCAACTAATCCTACCACTACTACTGATACGACTACTAGTACTGCGAATACTGCTAGTACTGTTGCTACTGCTACTAATACACTACTACTACTACTACTACTACTACCACCACTATTAATACTGCTATTACTGCTACTACTACTACTACTACTACTGCATAGCACTACTACTAATACTACTACTACTACTAATACTGCTACTACTACTACTACTTCTTCTACTACAACTACCATTGGTGCTACTAATACTATGACTATTACTACTAGTGGTACTACCACGATGACTACTACTACTAGGACTACTCCTACTACTACTACTACTACCATTACTACTACTATTACTACTACTACTACTTCTAGTACTACTACTAGTGCTAGTACTACTACTAGTACTACTACTAGTAATATTACTACTACTACCACTACTACTACTACTACTACTACTACTACTACTACTACGACTACTACTACTACTACTACTACTACTATTATTGCTACTACTACTACTACTACTACTACTACTACTACTACTACTACTACTACGACTACTACTACTACTACTACTACTACTACTACTACTACTACTACTACTACTACTACTACTACTTACTAGTAGTACTACTACTACTACTAATAATAATAGTAATACTGCTACTACTTATCGCTGTTGCCGGAGCTTGCGATCACCGCGGTACGCGCATCTCAGTTGCGATACTATCAACTCCGTGCTTTTCGAACTCCTTGGGCGTAGCGTCGACTCGAGCGCCGAACCCGCATATCACGGAGTACGTCGTGCCCGAAGTCTACTCGATCACAGTGCTTTAGTCGCGCCGAACTTCTTGGGCGTAGCGTTGACCCGCGCGCCGAACCCGCGCATGACGAAGTACGTCGTGACCGAAGTCTACTCAATCACAGTGCTTTGATGACGTTCGCATCCGTTGCGGGGCGATTGCGCAGTATTTTGGTTGATTTTCCTTCAAACGGTGCGGACTTTAGAGTTTCCGAGGCTTCCGCGTCACGCGGATCCCGCGCATCATTGAACCAACTCCTTCCGAAGTCCGCGCGAACCTCGCGCGCGAGCGATTTTAGTAGCGTTCGTGTTCGTCGCGAGGTGATTTCTCTAGTATTTTCGGTGTTTTCGCGTCAAACCATATAGACTTTTAGGTTTCTGAGGTCCCCGCGTGGCCTCGAGCCTAAACGCGCGCGAATTCGCGCTCCGAGAAAGTTTTTTGCGTAAGGGAGGCCCCAGGGCGGGTAGGAGCCGAAGCCTCACTTTCCTCCACAATATGATTTTCTTAGGGACGGGCCTAAGGCAAGCCGATGACGCACTACAAACTGCGGCAGAGGTAGCACTCCGGACCCAAAGACTGCGCGCAGTCTCCGGCCTGGACCGGGCCTCGCTGCAGGGAGGGCGGTCGGCCGGGTGTCCCTGCAGCAGAGGTCTGGGCCCGGCCAGCCTTAGCCAGCATCATGCGCATCAGCTCGTTTATTCGGCCGCGGCGGCGAGCATCATGCGCATCAGCCGGTCCCGCGCCGCGCTCGCTTCCATCATGATACCCTATCATTTTTTTTCCGTAGATAGGCACCACCGTTAACGCGGGGGGCTGCGCCCCCCGCACCCCCCGCTTCTAGGGCTAGTAGTACTTCTACTACTCGTAGTAGTATGCTAATAGTGCTACTACTACTACTACTATTACTACTACTACTACTACTACTACTACTAGTACTGCTTCTACTGTACTAGTATTACTACTACTAATATTACTACTACTACTACTACTACACTACTACTACTACTACTACTACTACTACTACTACTACTACTACTACTACTACTACTACTACTACTACTACTACTACTACGACTAGTACTACTACTAGTGCTAGTACTACTACTAGTAGTAGTACTACTACTACTACTACTACTACTACTACTACTAGTACTAATAATTACTAGAACTACTACTACTAGTAATACTACTACTATTACTACTACTACTACTACTACTACTTACTACTACTACTACTACTACTACTAGTACTACTACTACTACTACTACTACTACTACTACTATTGCTATTATTACTACTACTACTACCACTACTACTACTACTACTGCTACTACTACTACTGCATAGCACTACTACTACTACTAGTACTACTACTACTACTACCAGGACGTGGGCGTTACATACTAGTACTGTCCTTGCAGTTGGCAAAGCCTGCAATAGAAAGACACGGCAACTTCAGGGTGGACGGTGGAGCTACATACGTATACTGTTCACCGAGACACAGCAATTCCAGGGTGGACGTTGGCGTCACATACTCATACTGTGCTTAGAATTTGCAAAGTGTACCATGCAAAGCCACATGGATTTCAAGGTGGACGTTGGCGTCACATACAAATACTGTTCTTGCAGTTGGCAAAGACTGCAATACAAAGACACGGCAATTTCAGGGTGGACGTTGGCGTTACATACTTAGACTGTCCACCGAGACACAGCAATTCCAAGGTGGACGTTGGCGTCACATACTCATGCTGTCCTTAGAATTTGCAAAGTGTACCATGCCAAGCCACATGGATTTCAAGGTGGACGTTGGCGTCACATACTAATACTGTTCTTGCAGTTGGCAGAGAGTGCAATACAAAGACACGGCAATTTCAGGGTGGACGTTGGCGTTACATACTTATACTGTCCACCGAGACACAGCAATTCCAGGGTGGACGTTGGCGTCACATACTCATACTGTCCTTAGAAGTTGCAAAGTGTACCATGCAAAGCCACATGGATTTCAAGGTGGACGTTGGCGTCACATACTATTACTGTTCTTGCGGTTGGCAAAGACTGCAATACAAAGACACGGCAATTTCAGGGTGGACGTTGGCGTTACATACTTATACTGTCCACCGAGACACAGCAATTCCAGGCTGGACGTTGGCGTCACATACTCATACTGTCCTTAGAATTTGCAAAGTGTACCATGCAAAGCCACCTGGATTTCAAGGTGGACGTTGGCGTCACATACTAATACTGTTCTTGCAGTTGGCAAAGACAGCAATACAAAGACACGGC